CTTTGCAGTGTTACCATGGAAACAAAGTACCAGTGCTTAAAAGTGAATTATTTTTCGCTGCATTAAGAATTAAATTGCCATTTAATCAAGAAACAAATTAAAGGACTCAGCTTGAATAGTACTTATCTGTTAGAACTGAAGTTCAATATCATATATTGAAAAAATTTGATGAATTAAACAACACTGTTGCTATGGTTACTAAGAAGGGAAAATGTTCGATTTTGTGAACTTTATATCAATATTAAACCCTGTGTGCCTACTTCTTGCATCCACTTAGAGATTGGATGATAGTCAAAATTAAAAGTCAAGTTAGCTGTTAATAAATATCAAATTATAAAAGTTTTGGGAATCTACATTTAAGGGTACGTATCCAAGGAAAGAAAATATTTTTCAGGTTTTTAAGCATATATTTTCTGCTTATTTCCATAGCAACGCTCTATTTAAAGAATCTAATCTGAATTTTTACAAATGGGAAATCTTGGAGCACACCAACATCTTATAAAATTGATCATTAGTTATGAGGAAATGTGCTTTTTTTAAAAGATATGATGAGATTTAAACATACAGAGTGTTACTTTGAAGGCTCTCTGTGGTATAAAAACCTTGGCAACCATTGCCAACCAAAATGAAATATCATATTTTGTTCTTGGTATATGTTTCAAGGCTTTTTTTTTCTATTATTTGGTCACATTTCATCCCATAATTGCTTTTTATTTTTGCGTGTATGACTTTATAAAATTCAATGAATATTTTTTTTTACTTTTGAATGCTTTGTTACCATAGTAACGTATGTAATAGTTGATTTACCAAGCATGTTTATCATGCATTTTAGACATCTGACCTTCAACTTTTGGAAACAGTCATTGCCAATTGTTTGCTTTGCCGCAAATGTTAACTATGGGGCTCTAAACATGTTAAAAAATGCCATTTTTCGAACTTTAAGACATGTTGCCATGGTAACTATAAAACATAGCAACCAATTTTTGCCTGATTTCAGTTTAGGGTATCAATGACTTTTATCATAGAGAGTTTGGAGAAATTCTGAGACTATGCGTGCCACAGCTGCTATATAAAATTTCAAATCATTACAGAGAATGGCTCTTAAATACATTTAAGTTTCTCTAAAATACAGTTAAAAAAGGAAACTACAGTGTATTACTTACAAACGAGGGCAATGTAGTTACCTGCTTTGTCCTCTGGATCTAGTACATGTTGATTGCATAGCCGCTTGGGTCGAGGATACTGTATATATTTTCAATATAATGTGTTGTCGAGGATATTCAAACTATATTCGTAACATTTTTTCAGAGGGCAGTGATAATTTTTAGATTTTTGTAAACCTTTCTGCTTCATATACACTAGATTGTCACGGCGGAAATTTGATTTTATGCACGCTTTAAAAATGACATATCCCACTCTATACTAAAAAGAAACAATTTATTATTAAGAAATACAAGGTGTATGCATGTACTTCAACTATTTGGTGGCATGCAAGGCTGTAGCTGCAGACATGTAGCTCTCTGCTTGAGAAAATTCGGACGGATAAAGAGCTTTATCCGTCCGAATTTTCTCAAGCAGAGAGCTACAGTTCTGCAGCTAGCAAGGCTAAACTTTTTTTTTACTCTATCGATTCCTTTGTCCTCATATTAAAGTTTAAGGAACATACGGATTACATGAGCAGTATTCTCTTAAATACCAGTACATTTCGAAAAACACGCTGGTTTGAATAAGGTACTCCGATCCTCAGGTTCTGAAAATCAGGCATTGACTAATTGAAAGTGCTCACAAAAATGTTTCTGATTTCTCAAAGTAACGTGTTTTTATCAACGATATTTCTTCAAACTTTATCTTTAAAGTTTATCTTTTTAAATAAAGAAAATTAGTAAATCTCAAATATTTTTTTAGGAAATGCGAATAAAAACACCTAATATGCTCTTTCCATTTCAAATTTGATCAACCAACATATTTTAGATATAAAAGTCATAGGTAACCAGGCTTTTGAAGAAATTGCACAATATTTATACATATAAGTATTTTAGTTTCTTCTATTTACTTCGATTATTTTACAATGTATAGTGTATAAAGATCTTCCTATCTTTGCAAAACACCATGAATCATTTCTTATTTCTTATCACGTAAATAAACATTGGTATCTATGGCTATATTTAAAAAAAACCCTCAAATACTAGTATGTAATTTAAAATACGTTCATGGGGTAAAAAATTCGACTTTTTACAAGACCTCAAAGAACCTTGGAGCACATTGAGAGGTATAAAATGAAAATTTTTGCATGAAAAGATTTAATTTTCAGGCTTCATATAGAGACTTTTTGAATCAAATTATAAATTAAAGAGTTATCCTCCCTGGCTGAGGATCGGATATCCTTAAAAGCCTGTGATTATGTACATTTGTTCAGATTATTGTCTTGATCGAAGTTTTGGTTTTATACTAATCTGAACACTGCTCCTATGACATATACAGGGATAACAATGTTGATCTACTTCAGTCCTTTTATACACTCAAAAGAGGAACGTTACTCTTTTTTAACAAACCAATCTATCGTTTGTTATGCGTCGACTAATTTTCATTAACATATTTTTTTATATATGATTTCTAATACTTCTCGAAAAAAAAAGAGAAAAGAGTCTAGAACAGTGAAGTTGGTATATTCCAATTCTTGCTTTGTTGTAACAACATCAAGGCATGTTGATAGACAAGTATTGTTCTAAAGATCTAAAAATACTAATACATGTACATGTACTTTTCTCACAGAATTGTCGATATTAAAATATATTTAATCAAAGCCAAGATAGTGACTTTATATCAGGTCTACGTGTATTTTTTAAAATTGATATTTCATTTTCATTATTTAACATATAAACCAGAAGTCTCTGTCGAGACTGAAGCTTTACTGGTTTGTACTTATAGCAAAGGAAGAGAAAAGTACTTTAAGCAGTTGGGAATTGAAACTTTACAACAACAATAAATAGAAAAATGATCCTTGATTAGGTCTCTTAATGTTCTTAGTGTAGTCTACTTGCATGCCACATTATATTAAAATCAGACTAAAACGGTATTTGGAGTAGCATTTTGAGAGTATTTAACAGGAATGTCTATTTTTAGTAGCCAAGGCAATAATTTTCATCCAAGTCAAAAACCGATATGCAGAATTGTGTATCTTAGTGTAGTCTACTTGTGTGCCAAGTTATATTGAAATCAGACCAAATCTGTAGGACGAGTTGCATTTTGAAAGAGTTTCACAGAAATTTCTATTTTTAGTAACCACGGCAACACCGTTCATCGAAATACAGAAACGATACACAGAATTATGTACCGTAGTGTAGCCTACTTGTGTGCCACGTTATATGGAAATCAGACCAAAACAGTAGGACGAGTTGCATTTTGAAAGAGTTTCACAGAAATTTCTATTTTTAGTAACCACGGCAACCGTTCATCGAAATATAAAAACGATATATAGAATTATGTACCGTAGTGTAGCCTACTTGTGTGCCAAGTTATATGGAAATCAGACCAAAACTTTAAGAGAAGTAGCATTTCGAAAGAATATCACAGAAATTTCTATTTCTTGTAACAATGCTAACACCGTTCATCGAAATCAAAAACTGATATACAGAATTATGTATCTTAGTGTAGTCTACTGGTGTGCCAAGTTGTATTGAAAACAGACCAAAACTGTAGGAGGAGTAGCATTTTGAAAGAATTTTAGAGAAATTTCTATTTTTAGTAACCACGGCAACGCCGTTCATCGAAATCAAAAACCGATATATAGAATTATGTACCTTAGTGCAGTCTACTTGTGTGCCAAGTTATATTGAAATCAGACCAAAACTGTAGGAGGAGTAGCATTTTGAAAGTTTTTCAAAGAAATTTATATTTTTAGTAACCATGGCAACACCGTTCATCAAAATCAAAAACCGATATATAGAATTATGTATCTTAGTGTAGTCTACTTGTGTGCCAAGTTTTATTGAAAACAGACCGAAACTGTAGGAGTAGCATTTTGAAGAAAAAATTAACAGAAATTTCTATTTTTCAGTAACCACGGCAACACCGTTCATCGAAATAAAAAACCAATACAAAGAATTATGTATCTAAGTGTAGTCTTCTTGTGTGCCAAGTTATATTGAAATCAGATTAAAACTGTAGGAGGAGTAGTATTTTGAAAAATTGTTTACAGACAGACGGACAGCTAGACAGACGGACGGACGCCGGACGCATAACTATCGCATAAGCTCTTCTGGTGTCTGACCAGTAGAGCTAAAAAACAAGATGTATTTGTGAAACACTAATTCCCCCCCCCCCCCATGGCAGCTTATTGGGAGGGTTGAATGCTCTCAAATAAATTTCAAAATCCAATGGTCAAGGTAAAAAAAGTTGGTACCCAAAGGAAAGTCTTGTTACAAGGAATACACCGGTGAAATATGAAAGCCCTATTTCTAACTGTTCAAAAGTTATGACCAAGGTTAAAGTTTTTAAAAAGTGGGTAAAACTCTTAGGTCAAGGGGAAAAGGTCAAAAATATTTATTCCAGGACGAAAGCCCTAGCTCCAACTGTTCAAAAGGTCTAGCCAAGGTTAAAGTGTGGTATTTCATTTTTGTAAAAGTTGGTCAAACTCCAAGGCCAAGAGGTCAAATTTGGTGGTACCCATGGAAAGGTCTTATCACAAGGAATACACAAGTGAAATATGAAAGCCATAGTCCCACCCACTCCACAGTTAAGGGCTAGGTTAAAGTTGACAACAGACAGACAGAGAGACAAACAGACAGACAAACAGCCAGGCAGAAAAAACAATATACCCCCCTCCCCCCCGGGATCGAAACTAAATATCCCTATAAATATTGTCTCCTCAAAATTCTTCGCATAGTATAAAATTGTTAAATTTATGCGCCCAGATCGATAGATCGGGGCGTATATTGTTTTTGTCCTATCTATATGTTTGTCTGTCTGTCTGTTGTCAACTTTAACCTTCGCCATAACTTTTGAACCGTAAGATATAGAGACTTCATTTCTGGTATGCATACTGCACTAATTAAGTTAATTCAAATGACACCAAGGTCAATGACTTGTGTCTTTGACTGTGACCTATATGCTAAAAATAGCTTTTTGGAACTTTGTTGCCACTGGGCGCATAGTGTTTCACAAACACATCTTGTTGTATTAATAGAGTAGAATAGATTGATTAGGATCTCAGCTCCCGGTGTAGAATGTACTAGAATCAGGAACCAGTCCTTGATTGCATTCATCAGATGTACAGCAAAAGTGACAGGAGAACATGTCACTAACCACAACTTTGCCATACTGAACGCAATAGTCCTGGTCTGAAGTCTGGGATAACCACTGTGTTCTGCAGACAGCCTCATTCACGCACCTGTTGAATTAAATAACAAAATGCTTTTTGTTTATATTTACATATGTATTTAAAATCATTCAAATTCAAATTAAATTTGTTAAATATCGTTTTTAAGATGTATATAAAACTTCACACGCGGCTTGCTCAGTGTTGTTCATGCAGTGATTAACAGCAATGGTCTTCATAAGAAATAAAGTAAACAAGATGTGTTTGTGAAACACTATGCGTCCGGCGGTAACAAAATTTGAAAAACCTATTTTTAGCATATAGGTAACAGTCAAGGACACAAGGTCATTGACCGTGGTGTCATTTGAAAGAACTTAATTAGTAGAGTACGCAAGCCAAATACAAAGTCTCTATCTCTTATGGTTCAAAAGGTATGGCGAAGGTACGAAAAAGCAGTCAAGGTCATAAGGTCATTGACCTTGGTGTCATTTGAAAGAATTTAATTAGTGGAGTACGCATGCATACAAAATATGACGTCTCTATCTCTCATGGTATAAAAGATGTAGTGAAGGTTCAAAAAAGCTATTTTTAGAATATATGTCACAGTCAAGGCCACCAGGTCATTGACATTGGTGTCATTTGAAAGAGCTTTATATTGGAAGTTTGCATAAGTAAAATAAGTTGCGATTGAATGTAGTATCTTTCTGTCATAAACTGACATCTCACTGAAACACAGAGTACTGACCTTTTGAAAACTTGTTCCTTTCCGGAGCCGTCAGAGATTATGTCCGTCATACAGAAAGCTTTTCCTGCCTCACACGTAACCTCTGGTCCAATGTATATGCTGCGAATGTCGCAAGATATTCCATTCTCATAATCACCACAGACCTTGCAAGTTCTCTCGCTTAAACCTGATCAAATTGTAAAGTATTAGATCTTTTATTGTTTCAAGAGTTATGTGATTACTGTCAAATATGTAGTTTTCATTTCTTTTTTGTAATATTGACCATTTAATTACGTAAAAAACAAGAGGCCCGTGGGCCACATCGCTCACCTGAGAAGCTTTGACCATTCTGTTCTTTACGAGATTTCACCCTTGTTATACATAATACATCCCCACCCTACCCCACTGATCATAATTTAGACATTTTGAAATCTACACTACCCCATGATCCTTCCACGGGCACATATGTTTCAGCTTTTTTGGCCCAGTGGTTCCTGAGAAGAAGATTTTCAAAGATTTTTCCTATATATTTCTATGTAAAACTTTGATTCCCTATAATGGCCCCGCCCTTCCCCCGGGGGTCATGATTCCTACAATTTAGAATTTACACTACCCCAGAATGTTTCCATATAAGCTTCACTTTTTCTGGCCCAGTGGTTCTTGAGAAGAAAATTTTCAAAGATTTTTCCTATATATTTCTATATAAAAATTTGATTCCCCATTGTGGCCCCGCCCTTCCCCCGGGTGTCATTATTTGAACAATTTAGAATCTACATTATACCAGGATGCTTCCACATAAGTTTCAGCTTTTCTGGCCCAGTGGTTCTTGAGAAGAAGATTTTCAAAGATTTTTCCTATATATTTCTATGTAAAACTTTGATTCCCCATTGTGGCCCCGCCCTTCCCCCGGGGGTCATGATTTGAACAATTTAGAATCTACACTATACCAGGATGCTTCCATATAAGTTTCAGCTTTTCTGGCCCAGTGGTTCTTGAGAAGAAGATTTTCAAAGAATTTTCCTATATATTTCTATATAAAACTTTGATTCCCCATTGTGGCCCCGCCCTTCCCCCGGGGGTCATGATTTGACCAATTTAGAATCTACACTACCCCAGGATGCTTCCACATAAGTTTCAGCTTTACTGGCTCAGTGGTTCTTGAGAAGAAGATTTTTTAATGACCCCATCCTATTTTTGTCTTTTCTTGATTATCTCCCCTTGTGAGGGGATATGTCCCTTCATTTTAACAATTTAAATTCCCCTTTACCCAAGGATGCTTTGTACCAAGTTTGGTCAAAATTGGCCCAGTGGTTCTTGAGAAGAAGTCGAAAATGTGAAAAGTTTACAGACGGACAGACAGACGGACAGACGGACGGACGACGGACAAAATGTGATCAGAAAAGCTCACTTGAGCCTTCGGCTCAGGTGAGCTAAAAATCACGGAAATAGTTCATCATCCAAAAGTAAAGCAAACCCTATCTTTATATTACCTGAGGTTGGGGATATCGTGGTATTTGGAAACATCGTAGTTGTCCCTATTGATGGTGCTCTTGTAGAAGACACTATTCCCACTTGAGTGGCAGCGGAAGTATTTGTAGAAAGACGTGAAGTCGTACTTGAGACAGGGGGTGATGAGGTTGGTGCCTTTGTTGAACTGTGTGCTGTATGATGTACTGAAGTTATAGTAACCATTTGAAAAAGATGGACGTTACAGTACTAGCAGACATAAATTAAAGTCATCATGACGCACACAGGAAAAAAACTAAGTGCACTTTGTCAAATATATCTACATGCATATGATCTTTAAGGAATCATGTACTAAACCCCTTACTGACACTCTGTGTGTGTACTAATGCTTATCGTTTTTGTTTGTTTTTTTGTGCGTATGGAATCAAAATCTCCAAAAGAACATTAATGACAAATACACAACTTTAAAAATCGCCAATGAAACATAATGTAATTATGATACAAGTAAAATAAATTCCCTGTTGATGTGAGAATGTATAATTCCAAAAACTTCAAATGCTTATATGTCTCTGTTTTATAAACGGAATTCAATAAATTGGTCAGTTTCAAATTGAATACGTGAGCATATTGATAGTTCTTTTTTCCAATTTTTAGTCAATGATGTTGTATAGGTCTGCAATGTTCATAAACCATCAAATTAATTGAATATCAAATATTTGAAGATTCCTCCTTATTGTTTATGGAATAGTATTGAAGATTTTTTTTTCATTCAAAATAGATTTTAAAGAACATATCCATCCTCCAGCTACACTTTAACCATAAAACTCTCTCCCTGAATCAAAATCATGGTATCTTTAATTCAATATTAGGCAATATCGATCGGATTTATTATATTTTTCAACCATTATATATTACTACATGTACATTGTAACATAATGTTTTGACTGTCTTTTGTTTGACTTCCTATTCGAGGTTTTTTTTTTTATTTATATAGAGACGAGCTTAAGTGCCACGAAGTTTGATTTGGCAATTAGCAATTAGAAATGAGGGATCTTTGTCAAGGCTTATGAAACCTCGAATTTTAGGATTCATCCAAAAGACCTTTGACTTAACTTCTAGTGGCTGATGCTTCGCAAAGAACAGTCACTTCCTATGTTAAATGTCTTCGGCTTTAACGCTTAACGCGAATCGAACTTGGGACCTCCCACTCACTGAAACGATCGTCCTACCACTAGGCTATCGCGACCGGTTCTTAATTGAATTTTAGAGTGTATTTTTAAGGAAATTATACAGAATGGCTGTGCATTTTTATACGTTTTATTCAACGCTTTGTCTTGGATTGTAATATTGTGATAAAAGTAAATTAAAGTCAATGTTTTTATCACTAATTTGGTGACAGAGTATCCTTGAAATCATTTTTCATCGTCTCACAGTGACCATGTGTACTTGTTTTAGAGAAGTTGTTAACGTTATCCACCAGTTTGTAGTTGTTGTTGTTGGTGCCGCAGTTGTCATTGTTGAGCTGCTAGGGATGGTTGTCGATGCTGAAAATTTCATTATATAACCTGCAGCCATAGGCTTTATTGCAATAAATTCTCTCTAGGTAGCATTGAAATGTTTTTGGGATTGTTTCTGGGTGATTATCTAAGAAAAACGAAAAGTATCTGTAAATAAACTCACCAGGACAGTGTTGAGAATTGCATGTTGAAGACTGCAAGGAGTCTCCTACGCATGACCCGATGCGGCAGGCCCTATATCTCATGTGAACACCACCGCCGCACGTCTTGTCACAGGCCGAGAAAGCTCCCCACGGGCCCCAGTCACCTTAAAGTATAAAACAATCAAGTTAAAGTATTCTAAATATATTTTTTTTCAAGAATCTGAACAATATGTTACATAGCTAAGTATACATAGTTACATATGTATATACGCAAATCTACATTACTATAATATAAATATATCATATCACTTCAATACATGTATAGGATCATAACGTTTGTGTTGATTATTAAAGACAAATATTGGAATACCTGCAGAGGAGGAGGTGGTTGTAGACTCGGAACAATTGACCGTGCAATATTGGGTTTCCTTGCCATACATCGGACACTCGGTTGAAAAACGCATAAATCCCATAGCCCAGTGGTGACAGCCTCGTGTTCGATACTGAGAACCCGGCAATCCACATATATATCCGGTGCAGGAACTCCAAGAACCCCATGGTTCGAATACGGTCTGTGCTTTAACAAATGTCTCGATGGGATCAACTAAAAGTCAAAACATCATATATTTTTTTTAAGTTCTTTGATTTGCAAACAATTTGCTGCACAATTTAAAAGTATAAGCACTAGGATCGATGAATTTGTTTCAATTGCATGCATTTGGGTATATGATACACAATGAAAAAATAACGACATTTGACATTTGCAAAATGAAATTCAGTTCTAAATTAATGTTATGATTTGTAACAAAATAAAGCTTTTCATTTTTATATATAAAATCATAATCAATCTTATACTTGTATTCAATCGTATGGCAAGCCCTTTTGCTATTTATTCAGAAATTAAATAAAATTTGTCTTAAAATAACAGATATATCTCTCTAACTAGGAAAGATATCTCTTTCAACTATGTTATAATATGGCAAGCCCTTTTGCTTTTTATTCGGAAAATAAAATTTATCGTAAAAGTACAGAGATATCTCTCATTTTAGAGAGATATCTCTTAAAAATAGTGATATCTTCCAAGTTAAAGAGATATATCTCATTTTTAAGAGAATCTCTATGAGAAAGAGATATTTCTTAAAATAAGAGAGATATATCTTTTTATAAAAGAGATATCTCTTCCACTTGAACAGATATCTCTTTCTCCTTGAGCTTGAGAGATATCTTTTACGTGAAAAGAGATATTTCTGAAGGTTAAAGAGATATCTCTTTCACCTAGAGAGATATCTCTTACTTTTGGGATATCTTTCAAAGTTAAAGAGATATCTCTCAAAGTAAATGAGATATCTCTCTTAGTTTATCTTAAGAGATATCTCTTAGAGTGAAAGAGATATCTTTCAAAAGTGTCTAAAAGAAATATCTCTCAAGCAAAAAGAGATATCTCTTTATTGCAAAGAGATATCTCTCTTCATTATTTTATTTAAATTCCATTTGAAATGACTTCTGTCGCCCGCGTGGCGCAGTGGTTAGAGCGTCTGCTCTAGATAGAGTTCGCGAAGTAAGGAGTCAATCCTTACGTCGCGGGTTCGAATCCCACGGTGGGACGTGGAGACCGGTCCCTTGGATGAGACCGTATAATCCGAGGTCCCGTGTCGCAGTAGGCGCTGGCACGAAAAAGATCCCTACCCGCTCAATGACCCTAAGTGCCGAGTATAGGACAAAATTTGCAGCTTTCCACCGGCAAGTGGTGGCGTCTCCATATGAGTGAAAAATTCTCGAGAGGGACGTTAAACAATATACAATCAAAGAAATGACTTCTCCCTTTACCGGTCTTGTAGAGTAGGCTTTCCCCTTAAATCTTTCCCCACAGAAAACTGGCTCTAGAGTAGAATTCCCCTCCGGAAAACTGGCTATAGAGTAGGATTTCTCCCCAGGAAAACTGGCTCTAGAGTAGGATTTCCCCTATACGATAATCCCACATCGGAGTCAATTTTCCAGGGGGGAATCCTTCTCTGTATAGTAGTTATAGAGTGCGATTTCCCCTAGAGCCAATTTTCCCCCAATAAAATATAATTGCTCTACTTATTTTTTAGGAGGAATGGTTGGCACATTGCTACAAGTGTCACTTCATCAAAATGGTGACCAGATTTATTGAACATACATATACAAAGAATGCAAGTGAAAATTTTAAATCTCATTCTTCTCAGCAACTGTCAAACCAATTTTTAGATAAAATAAATCGAATGTAACGGGGGGGGGGGGGGGGGGGGGGGGGGGGGGGGGGGGCTATAGGTTTACTCTTTGTCTGTCCGTCTGTTAAGCTGTCCCTCTGTCTGTCCCAAATGGTTTTTCGCACTTTTTTCTCAATGTTTGAAGATATTGAACTGATTTTTCGTTTTGGATGTATCATGATAAGTTAAAATCGAGTTTGCATTTAATTCCGCTTCAAAGTCTTTTTTATACGGAATTACGACCTCTTAAATTTTTAAGGATTTTCCAAAATGTTTATTTTTTCCACAAATGAATGGAGATATTGAGCTAATTTTTGCTATGAAAACATCGATTCTGAGGATATTTACATATGCTTTTCTTTAAAAAAAAAACTAAATATTTGGGTTGACATTCTATGATTAGAATTTTATGTTTAGAAATTCTTACTAGACAAGTAGAAAAACATTGACCATTTAAAAATCAGTTTGTCACAAAAAATATTGCAGCTGTGGTTTTGTTGACTATAAAAAGGGGGAAATCTTACTCTGAGAAAGAAAGAGGGGGAGATTTGGCTCTGGTGGGAGTTTTCCCCTCGGGGGAAAATCCTACTCTAGAGTACGATTTCCGGGGGGGGGGGGGGGAAAGCTGGCTAGGGGGGAAATCCTACTTTACAACACCGGAAGTATAAGCTTTTTATTCACGGAAGTACATGTATATTAAAGTATATTTAAATCATGTAAATTGCGAAATATTCATGATATTCCACATGATAGCTCTACTAAACATGACAAGTTATTCAGTGTTGTCTGGATTACAAATCGGTAATATTATATAGTTGATTTTTTCGTAAGCTGAGAAAATTCGGTCCATCGCTTAAAAAGAGAAATCTCTGTCGCTTATAGAGATATCTCTCTAGCTTATAAAGATATCCCTCTAAGTAAAACAAATATCTCTCTAAGTAAAAGAGATATATACCATTTTTAAGAGATTTCTCTCTAAGGATATAAACAATAAAGATATCTCTATTGGTCAAAGAGATATTTCTATCAGCTATCAGCTGTGCTAGAGAGAAATCTCTCTTATTGAAAGAGTTTTTTTACGAATAAATAGTAAAAGGGCTTGCCATATTGTTAATTCTTTTACTTTAAGAGATATCTCTCTCGCTGAAAGAGATATCTCTCTAGCTTGTAAAGATATCTCTTTAAGTTAAAGAGAGATATCTCTTTTGTTTAAAGAGATATCTCTCTAAGCTATAGTGATATCTCTATTAGTCAGAGCAAGATATCTCTATAAGCTAAAGAGATATCTCTCTATGGTAGACAGATATCTTTCTTATTGAAAGAATTTTTTTTATTTCACAAATAAAAAGTAAAAGGGATTGCCATACTATCGTGAGAGATCATGGTAACGTTTTATATATAAACCCTTTTTCAGACCTCATGCTTTTGAAACTTTCACCCAACAAATTAAAAATGTTTAAAGTTGGAGACAAAGATATGTGAAATCTGAGTTTTGCTAGGCCTCAAATACTGTGGATGGGAGAAATGTTAATCTATCACGAAAGTTATAATTCAAAAATATACTTACAAAGAAATCTCTTCTCTGCAAAAAGATTAAAATGACCAATTAAGGTTCATCGATTCTCTGATAAGAGAGATAACTCTTAAGTACATAAATTTGCCAAGTTGAAGTTTCTTTTTTGTCCAAATTTGCCCCGCAAGTTATGCTATAATTGTTTACATTAATTTTATTTGTAAACCACGTTTCTTTTGGAAAATCACTTGAGTTAAAGCAGCATTTCATATGAGTGATCAGAGGGTTTATGAACCCTAAATGAGCCTTGGGGGGTAATATCTAGGTCAATAAATTGGATAACATTGGATTAAATATTACATGCAGGTATAGTTTTAAGGCATTGTCATTGAAGATACATGAGGAAAATTTGTTTACATCTGGTCACTTGAAACTTCTGTGTCGCAGACTTTACTTACCGGCCAAACTCAATGAGGAAAGACAGAGTAAAAGGATCGAGATCGTAGAGTGAATAGCCATGTTTTCTAAAGCAGGTTTCACTGCGAACGTGAATATGTTATCAGCAGGAATATATATCAGGACTTTATGTATGCCCTGTCTGTGACTTAGTGTAGTTGTACCAATCATACACTCTGTCCTTTTGTCATTGCATGCGCAGTTTTAGAATTATTTCAATCTTTATTCAAAACTATCTTTGAATATCAATATCTGGTTATACACTATAAAATTCACAAATTCAAAATGACCGTGTTGGTCTTTATCTAGAAAAAGGTTGGGTCATGTTTTAATGAATAAAATGATTAAGATTCACCGCATAGTTTTTAAATTTTTATTCAAAGTGGCACAAAAATGGAATTTTAAGTGAAAAATATTTGTATAGAATAATAAGGATGGTTTCAGAAGGGTAGAATTTGAACGTCACAGAAGGTTTACAATTTCTTTATATTCTAGAAATTTATTATTTGCATCATTTATCATGAAATAAGGTCAAAAAATATACATCAGTATACCAATCCAGGCATCCATTTTTTGTTTGCATCATCTGTCCTTAAGCAGTGTTTAAAATAATCCAAGGAGAGTAAGAATTGATGTAAAATTTTACCAAATATTCTGTCAATTTCTTCATTTAATGATGGATATTGACATACAATGTATTTTGCTAACTTAAATTATGACATATACCTTGGTTTTAACTGTTTTCAATTTCATTTTTTCTGTTTACAGTCATTACACCCAGTTTGATTACCAGAACGAGTTGATTTTTTAAAGAAAGGAGGTGAGATTCAAAGAAAAAAACATAGTTGAAGACACAGAAAAACACTTGGTCTTGGAGGAAAATTTTCTATACTGTCATGCAGTTTTGAAACAGACCGGTTGATAGTAACTACAAAACATTGTCATGTTATTTTCTGCAATTACTGCCAAACAGTACATCAAAATTACACGACAAAATAAATGATTTAATGACCTTCACTTCTGAAGCAAAACTTTATTGCAAATCAAGATTGCTCAAGTCTTGTACATGTTGTAGAAAGTTTTTTTCCTGCTTACAACTTTCACCAATGCAGTGAAGAATAAAAAAAAACTCAATGAAATTTGAATAAACCTTTTTATTTCGTGCCTTTATGAACGATCAGAAGAAAAAAACGACACTGTCACGTCGTAACAGTCGATTTTTAGTAAGGCGGTCATTATAACCACTACTTGAATAAACCAGTAGTACTCTTTGCTTCTTTACATTTCTACTGTAAGTTAAGTACGTTTTCCCTAATTAGTGAAGTATTTATCGATAGGTTTCCGGCTTAATGTTAATGTTTAAGTTTACCATGGATTGAAAAGATGGAGATCTTGACATTTCTTGTCGCTTTGATATGTATCTTAAAAGGTAAATATACTATAAGACAAATAAATATTTAAATATTTATATACATTATTCTATCTCCTTTTACCCTTGTATGACATTGTTTTTTTCCCCAATATATCCATATATCAGTTATTTTTTTCTTTATATTTCAGTAAATGCACAATATGAAGTTTTCACTAACCAATTTACTTGGGTAATAGCAAAATCGAAATGTGAAGACAAGAAAGGAAATTTAGCAATATTTCGAGCTTCCTCGAGAACGATAAATATCACACAAATAGACGCCAGTCTGGAACCAGACACAATGTATTGGATTGGTGGCCGTCTTCATGATAATGGATGGAACTTTTATGACAATAGGTGCACAGAGAACTCAGCAGGTACTCACATATCTAGTATTTTGGAAATTATGATAGCATTGATAAATCAAGGATCAATCGGTTGGTCATTTTGAGTATTATTCACACTAAGATTTAAAAAAAAAATTAAAAAGACGACTCATAACAGCTAAATATGCATTTTATCATTTCAATTCATAAAAAATCTGAAAGCTAAGAATAAGTGTTCATAAATATGTTCAAAAACGATTTTTGGAAGAATGTTTTAGTAAATAAAAAAGTGAGTGCGTTAAAATTTTGGGCCCCTACTAGCTTCTTGCCTGAAAATGCAAAATTCTGAAAGTTTATTGATTATCCAAAAAAACCCACCAAAAATCATATTTCGAAGGATCATTTACCCACTAAATTGTACGGGGCTGTGACTAAAGATTTAACAGAAAAGGAAGTTTTTGTCGTTTCCTATTGGTCCTGTGGACCATGTTTCATACGGTGTAAGAATTTAAACTTTTATTCCTAGGTGTTACTTGGGTTTTTAAAAAAAATAAGCGTTTTCTTTCATTTTTGAAATCTCAGATTGTTAAATACAGTAGATTAATAATCTCGTATTAATTGGTGGTGACATGTACATGAAGATGGGCGATAAAGTTTTTGATTTTTAAACTTTTTTATGCAGATGGACAACTAGGTCTCAAATGTCAAAGCAAACATATCGCTTCCAAAAACCCCTCTAAAATTTTATCCTGTAGCAAAATCAATTTTGTAATATGATAAAAGATATCCTGTAGATGCTTACTAAAGTTTATAAATTTTGATTCTCATCCAGAGATCTAATTCGAAGCCAAAAACATTTTTTTTCGACAAGTGTCCTTCTTCTTATAACTTTTCTCAGATCTATTAATGAATGGTGAAAATGATATAGAGACTCGTCCTTCCAAAACAATTAAAATTTACTTTTTTGACCCTCTTAAACTTCTTTCATATATTTTTATGTTTATTAACCGCATGCATGTTTTTGTTTTGTGGAGATTTTATCAAAAATTTACTACTTTACCAAATTCATCATATCAAAAATAGTATAATTATTATCAACTTGATGCTGGAAATAAACTTTTATGGAAAATGTTTACACAGAAGCAAAACACTTCCACCTAGATATTGTTGGTATTTTCTTCATTTTCAGAGAATGAAGTACCTTCAAAGGAAGTAATAATCTACAAAGGTTGCTTTCGTTCTTCCCTTATCAAAGGAGGATTTCAACTTAAGAATGTCAACACTAGAAATTGCTTCCAGAAATGTGGATGGAAGGGAACCATTGGTTTATATGTGAGATTTTTTTTTACCAACGAAATCAGGAAATGTTACAACAGTAATATGTCGAAGAGTCCTTTCGGGCACTTCCGGTTCTTAATTTAAGATTTTCGAAGAAGTGTACATGTATTTTATTTTATGGTTTTTAATTATAACTACTACTTCTTTATTAATTCTTTAACATAAATAATGATACAATTTATTACAAAAAAAAAATAAATAATGCATGTATACGTCATATTACAATTTCCAAGTCTTTTTTGTAGAGTACGATGTGTCTGTGTGAACACCATTTACACCAGTTGACAAGACTGTCAAATGATGAATGTAACATAAAATGTACTCACTGTAAGAGTGACACTTGTGGTGGAATAAAGGGAGTGTCCGTCTACAGTTGTAAGTGAAATGCTTAAAGTTGGGGATTTTTTTAGCATTAATTTCTTAACAAACTACCGTAGTCTTTAAAATAGAACCAATTGGAGTTGGTCTTTATCCCTTCTGTTTTAAAACAAATTAAGGTAGAAAGCTAGAAATCTATTAGTTGGAAAAGGATTGGGATTTACTTTCAAACATTCTGATAAAACTTCAACAAATTCAGCCACTACCTATCCAAAATAAAATTTGTCAACAAGCAATTTTGGCTTCAGCCAGTCGATCATGTAAATTGATCTTTAATTTACTTTGGTTTACAATATTTTTAGATAAAAAGAGTCTAATTCACAACATAACCGATGATACAACAGGGGAAATGTGTGCTTACGTACAGATAGATCAGTCCGGAACCAGAACAATGTATCCCGCAGATTGTTTTACTCACATGAAGTATATATGTCGATTTGGTAATGGTTTGACTTTTCTATGCTAAATACATATAATATTCTAGCTGATCGTTTTCATGAGTTGTTCAGTGTAAAGATTGTTACAGTTTGTTCCATATGCCCCATTGCATCCGCTTCCACTGAACTTCCCATAATGCAATTCTATTTTATTTCTGAGAACCCTCAGAATTGAACCATTATAGGTCAAGTATCCTCAGATTAGACGAAACCCTTCAACAGTGTTCAAATATACAATATTAAAAGGATTGTTTCATTTCTTTGTTACTTTGTATTTATCAATTTTAAAATATGTCAAACTCTTTTACGTACGCAAATTGTCCTGCACACTTAAGATAGTGCTTTAATTATAAACTGAGACCATAAAGGGAGCCTTTCATATCTACACTGTTATAATTTGTCATCTCATCTGTATTATAATTTTCTTCTCTTATCAAGTTTATATCTACTCACATTTAACTTATACATTTGTAGACGGTGGTTTATACTGCGGCCAAACAACACACTGTTTCCGGCCCTCGTTCACCGCTGACATTTGGTCCAAGGCCCGGCATAATTGTAGGGCTATAAATGGAACCCTAGCCTCTACAAGCATTGATGGTGATCTACCGTCTGGGAAGTTCTGGGTGGCCATTAAAAAGGATGTCACGTGGAGATGGCTTGATGGTAAGATATCTGAAATAAATTTGATACTATAGTAATTAGTGTCAGAAGAAATTCCTTTTTTGGAATTAATTCTAAAGTAATTTGGTTAGTTGAATTCTCTTTACAGTTCAGTCTTTTTATTACGTTACCTGAATTCTGGATGTCACATTTGAAACCACTATGAATATTAATCAAAAATAGGTTTTGGACTTTTGTATTGATGCTCAATGTTTCATCTTAAAAAAAGGTAGTCAGTTGTGCAGAAAAAGTAAAGAACACAAAAAACCTAATTTGCTAGATCTCCCTACTCTCCCGAGAAACATTCCCTTTCATGATATCAGTCAGAATCTCAAGAGAAGAATGGATCAAGAATAATTTCTTTCATCAAATGACATTAAAGATGGATATATAGTAGCTCTAAGAATAAAAAATATGCATGCTGTATTTCATATTAATTCTTCTAACAAAGGATTATTATAATGACTATTTATATCTTAACAGATACATTATATAGATGAAAAATAAATATTTCCAGTTGCTGTGGTGTTGTTTACATGAAATAAAAAATTAAAAGTTTCTTGTCTTTTTTCTTGTAAAGATAACACGATTTCCTCCTCCCAGCTCTCAACGTGGACAATCTCAGGCGGATCTGTCAGCAGATCAAGGGGGAACTGTTTGGCCCTCCGCGTTTCAACCTCAGATCTTGCTGAATTAACAACCGCTGATTGTGATAGGAAACTAAGTTTTGTTTGCCAATATGGTTAGTGAAATTATATTGGTAATTAGCTGCAGAACTGTAGCTCTCCGAAAAAATATTTTGATAGACCGGAGAGCTACAGTGGCACCCATTGAAAAAAACTGTATATATTTACTGCGCGCAAAAAAGTGCGCTGTTTCTTGATTTATTTTTCCATTTTTTTTAAATGTCATATCAAAATATTACTAACATGTTCTAAAATATTATTTCACTGTTTCCACAAAAACATTCCTTATAATTGTTGTTAATAGCCCTTCAGCCCCTTCTGGCCTTGAAATTGAGATCATATAAAAGTCGTCTATTTATGCTGCAATTTTGGTTTGCAAGATAATTTGGTCTCACGCACTTCGTGCAAATGTCAAATATAAGCGAACTTCATAGAGGAGGAAGGAATTTTAATGAATCTTTTTCACTTTTGAGGTAAGAATTAATCCAGAACTAAGCTCAACTTTTCGTGCTTAATAAATGTACAGTTTTTACAATGGGTGGCGCTGTAGATCTGCGGTCTGTCAAAATTTTTTCGGAGAGCTACAGTTCTGCAGCTACTTTTAGATACAGGTCTGTTAGTGTAGATTTGAAAGAGATGCAACACCAAGCATTAGAAATAAGTTCAATTTACTTAGCTCCATTTTTGAAAGTGTGTGTGTATGGGGGGGGGGGGGGGGGGGGGGAGAAAAACAATTTAACTTACCTGATAAAAACCTGACAACAGTTTGACCAAACCAAACAAACAACCCCCACCACCCCAAAAAAAAAAATAATTTTTCCAAACTCGAAAATACTATTTTGTGGGTAGGATTCAAACTTCTTTCAGTACCATTTATAACTCAAACACTGTCCTTAAACTTATGAAGCATTTGAATCAAAACGCCCTCTACTCTTTTTTGAATGTGTGCAAGATATTTGGTCCCAACAAACAAACAAACACTCTTTATAGTCGATGTTACCATCAGCAGGCACTAGATTGTCATTTTTCTTTCTCTGATTAAAACAAGCATTTGCTTTTCTCTTTTGGGTATGAATGGTTCTTCTCGGACACAATAATTAATTTCTATAGAATTCTGTGCTTATCTTTTCTATCAAATGTATCTATCTTTATATTCCGTAATTTTAAATTTCATTTCAAGTAATTTCTCTATAAAAGTAAGTATGTCTGAATACTTTACATTTTGTTTGTTTTTACGTTCGATAATTTTTCACTCATATTGAGACACTACCACTTGCCGATGGAGCTAGCTACATGTAGGTCTATAAATTTTTACCTATACACAGCACTCAGAACCATTGAGCAGTGAGGGGTCGTTTTGTGCCAGCATCTACTGCGAAATTGGATTTCGGTTTATAATGGTCTCATCAGAAGAGTTCATCTCCAAATGCATCCCACAGGATTCGAACGTGCGACGCAAGGATCAATCTCTAGAGCAAACTATTTTAACAACTGCGCCACGCGAGTGACACTTAATTTTCGTGATTTTGATTTGATTCAAATGTAATTAAAAATCAGACATAGTTTAACGAGCTACTACAAGAAAAAAACATGAGGAACGATATGTTTTCACACATCGATCATTGGGATTATTATACCATTGTGTCTGCATAAACATGTATTCATTCATTTTAATTGTTTTATTAATTATTAATTAAAGCCACGCACATTTTTCAAGTTCAGTTCTAGTGTTGAACACTTGACAAACTAAATGCTGATAAATTCATGAAATTAAAAATTAATGTCATTTGAAATCGTGATATCGGATATCAAAAAAATTGAATAACATTTAAATGCTATTATTTTTTCCCTTTACCAACGTAAAAAAATGAGTTGCACGTATCTGGTATGACAAAACTTTTTCCAGTCTTACAGATCATTTTACTTGTCAGAACAAATAAATGTCTGACAGTGATTATTTTTCCGTAGTATTTTTTAAACGAAACGTTGTTCTGTCTCTTCATTGCTGAAACAAATTGAAAGAAGTTGTGTAAAACCCTAGCGTTCCTTTTGACATTACATGTTTTTCGCAGCTTCTTACTCTGAAAGCAGACAAAAGCTCTATTTTAAATAATTCCGACCCTTTCCAAAGATTTTCCTAAATCTTCTCATTCCTTTTAATGATATGGCCATCGAACCACTTGGGATATAAAGGAGAGAATGAACTAAACTTACGTATCAAAAAGTTTACTATTCAGAATAAACTCTTAACAGCACTGGAGCGTAGTGGAATCAGCCGAGGATTGTCGATTGATAAATGACAGAAAACTGGGACTATTTTTTCATCCGGAAATCAAATTTAAGAGTCATTTCTCGGAGATATGACAAAAAGATGCTATTCAAATTAAGTTAAATAAAATTCAATTTAATTTACTTTTAATTCATTTATTAAAATTAGATTAATTCAGAAAAATGGGATGGACTATTTCTATTGCGGACGTTTCTGCGAGTTTATATAGACTGGTGCGAGTTTATATTGAATATCACAGGGGAGTAAATTGGTCGACACAGAAGCACCACGACGGCCGCTGTATAATTCATTGTAATATCACTGCGCTAGAAATCGCTTGATGACCATGGGAGATTGAACATAGTTCAACTCCCAAAAAAACTGTTTATTTATTGCGCACAAAAAAGTGCGCTGTTCCATGATTTATTTCTCCATGTTTTTAAAACTGTCATCACAAAATATTACTAACCGTGTATTCCTAACATATTCTTTCACTGTTTCCACAACAATACATTCGTTATTATTGTTTTTAATAGCCCTCCTGGCCCTGAAATTGAGATCATCGAAAATTTCGCCTATTTATACTGCCATTTTGGTTTGTAATATAATTCGGTCAAACGCGCTTCATACAGATGTAAACTGCGAGAGTACTTGATAAAAGAGTAAGGAATTTTTTAAAATATGGCTTTTTTGCAATTGAGGTAAGAATTTGGAAGAATTTATCCAGAACCGCGCGCACTTTTTTGTGCGCAATAAATATACAGTTTTTTTTCAATGGTTGGCACTGTAGCTCTCCGGTCTGTCAATATATATATATTGTAAGGACCTGTCAGATGACTATAATTTAACTATGGTGTACTATGCAATAGTTATTGGGTGGGTGGACATTACTTGTAATGATATTTCAACAATGGCTGAGAATGTTAGAATTTGTATTTATTTTTATATGCCATGAATTGGTTACCTTTCATCTTAAATCTGCATGTATTTATTGAGTTAACTGTCATTATCTTAGCAGTTCTACATGTGTGGATAAGCTGTAATACTTTGAATCATCTGCTGCTTGTTTACATTCTGTCTGCCATCTTGGCGCATGTTATGTACATTGTTTTGTATTTTACCTAACTTATTATTCGTGCTATATCACGGGCATAATTATTTGCTCTTTATTATGTTAATTATCATTGTGTGTTCTACTATTCATTTTAGCCATTATTTTTCCTGATTACATGTGTCTACAACTTGCACTATATTTTTATCCATCCGCGATATTATCTACATACTCAGCAAGTTTATTTATGTGAAATTTATCAGTTTCAGAGATAAATTGCTTACTTATAATAGACACATCTTTTGTAATCCATATTTATTGGTTATTTTGTCATTTCACATTTTAATTCCGTTTTATAGTTATTATTCTCATTGTACGGCAGCCTTGTTTGGCACTGCTTGGCAGATCTCTGTTTGTACGGTACCGTACAGTGCGGTGATTGGTGGAACGTCGCCGTACAGCATTTTTATTGGTTGAATCTAGTCATGTGACCCTTTTCCGAAGGTTATATATAGGGGCCGATCGCATGATGTGAACAGATAATTTGCCGAGTTGTCAGGCGCGTATATATTTAAAAGAGATAAATCCAAGATCCGCCCATATTTTCACCGTAGCCTTATATAGCATTACCATTGTGATTTCAGGTGAGAAAATGTTTGACAATTATCTCCCAACACACTGGACACCTATTTAATTGTAATTAACTGTGGGGATCATCCTAGTGTATAGTAATTGTAACCCCCCCCTTTTTTTTATAATAGTAGCGGTAGACGCCACCACCAGTTTATTATTGTACCTGTTGAAATGAGAACCGATTTATGATTTATAGATATTGTTGAGACCAAGACGAATCTTATGTTTTCCCTATAATCAGAGGAACAATGATTTTAGTACAGGAATACTACCGGTATTTATTTTGTAGCTTCCCTAACTTAAGCTTGGCCATTCCCAGAGAGCTTACAATATTTTTAGCTCACCTGAGACAAAGGCTCAAGTGAGCTTTTCTGATCACATTTTGTCCGGCGTCCGTCTGTCCGTCTGTCCGTCTGTCTGTCTGTCTGTAAACTTTTCACATTTTCGACTTCTTCTCAAGAACCACAGGGCCAATTTCAACCAAACTTGCCACAAAGTATCCTTGGGTGAAGGGAATTCAAGTTTGTTCAAATGAAGAGCCACGCCCTTATTCAAGGGGAGATAATTGGGAATTAATGAAAATTAAGTGGTATATTTTAAAAACCTTCTTCTCAAGAACCACTGTGCCAGGAAAGATGAAACTTATGGGGAAACATCCTCAGGTAGTGTAGATTCAAGTTTCTTCAAATCATGACCCCCTGGGGTAGGACGGGGCCAAAATGGCCGACCAAAGTTTTACATAGAAATATATAGGAAAATTCTTTAAAAATCTTCTTCTCAAGAATGACAAAGCCATAATTCATCATATTTATATGGGAGTATGCTCATGTAGTGTAGATTCAAGTTTGTTCAAATCATGACCCCCCGGGTAAGGGCGGGGCCAAAATGGCCGACCAAAGTTTTACATAGAAATATATAGGAAAATTCTTTAAAAATCTTCTTCTCAAGAATGACAAAGCCATAGTTCATCATATTTATATGGAAACATGCTCAGGTAGTGTAGATTCAAGTTTGTGCAAATCATGACCCCCGGGGGTAGGGCGGGGCCAAAATGGCCGACCAATGTTTAACATAGAAATATATAGGAAAATTCTTTAAAAATATTCTTCTCAAGAAT